TATTTCCTACTTGGTTCTTTGCTCAAAATAATTTAGAACATTTTATTTGTATTTGTTTTAAGCATTAAAATATTTATGCAAAGTTTCAATCCATTTGGATAAACCCTCGAAGAAAAAAGTGAGAAAATTGATTTTGACTAGGGTCGCCCCTAGTTCAAAATTGAAAATGTATTTCCTACTTCACTATGGGGCAAAATTGAAAAAAAGGGGTAATTCACTTCGAAAATAGGACTCTTTCAATTTAGGTTCTCGGGGTATTTTTTTCTTGTAGAGGACATTAAATTAGACTTGCATGCCAAATTTCAGACTATTTTGTGCTGTTTTTGAGATTCTAGAGCTATTTGAAGTTGAAAATGAGCAAAAAAACTGGTTTTTTCATGACATATTTAAACTTAAAAATCTCTGCAATGTTTAAAGTTATTGAAAAATTGTTTTCGGTTCCTATAAGAACAATATAAGAGCTTTATTTTAATGTATTGTAAAATTTTTAACTTTCCAGTTTTGGTGCTGGTATGGTTGGAAATGTACGAAAATCCTATGAAAAATATCTTCAACCGTGCCGCAACTATCTTAGCAGGTTGATTTCCAGGTAACTGAATATACAGAAATATAGCTCTTGATATACAGTTTGTAAAACTGTATAAACATTAGAAATAACAAGGTACGTTTTTGAGAAAAGTTGGTTAGTGTAAGTCGTGAAATATTAAGCCAAAAACTGATTTTTCTTTTAAAAACAACAAATCATTCATAGTAGAAAAGTTTTGTAATGTTTTCTAATTGCAAATAATATTTAAAGACAACCTGTGAAGAAATTTTTTCAAAAAGTTCTAAATTTGTCGATATATAGGGTACATTTGATATCTGATGACTTGTATGTTTTTTGCACCACTCAAATGACTCTAACTTTTGTTTAACTTAATATTTTTCAGTTCTGTTTCCTGTTTATTGTAGCTTAAGTCAATACCTTTCTAACAATATATAATACTTGATAGTTGCATATGACATTGATCTTGATTATTGGCATTGTTTGTGAATGACCCCAAACTAAGAAAAATCTTGAAAACGACATTTCTAGAAATACCACTTAGAAAGAAAATTGTGTATTGTTTTGAGGTTTTTTATGATGATTTATGATAATTATGACTGTTAAAACTCAAAAACATGGAATTCATAAACTTTTTGCGATCTCAGGTAGCCTGATTAGGTACGACCCTAGTAGTATCTATTGGACCAGAAAGTCTCTAGTATCAGACTATTTTAAAAACTCAAATTAATGAATTCATCATATTTAAGCATGTTTATAGCAAAATATTTCATTTTTAGATACTTTTGGTTGAAAAATTGTGAATTTTGGCTATTTTGTTTAAGTTCAGCTTGCGTCGGTCACATTCAATCCACTCTAGGTGAAACTATAATGAAGTTTTATACCAGTATTATACATCTTCTTAAAGGTACTGATCTAAACTAGCAATAATTGAAAACAGAATGCAAAAATATGTATCCTGAAAAAAGTTAAAGCTCTTTATGTACATCAAAAAGCATACAAAAACGCAACCATCATAGGTTAAAATACAAAAATTGAAAATTTATCAGTTTTTTTTGACAAACTTTGATTTTTTTGTAATAATAACCACATATAAACAAATTTTCAATACTTTTTTGTAAGATTTTCGTTGAAATTTTAAATTTTTGTATTTTAACCTATGATGGTTGCGTTTTTGTATGCTTTTTGATGTACATAAAGAGCTCTAACTTTTTTCAGTATACATATTTTTGCATTCTGTTTTCAATTATTGCTAGTTTAGATCAGTACCTTTAAGAAGATGTATAATACTGGTATAAAACTTCATTATAGTTTCACCTAGAATGGATTGAATGTGACCGACGCAAGCTGAACTTAAACAAAATAGCCAAAATTCACAATTTTTCAACCAAAAGTATCTAAAAATAAAATATTTTGCTATAAATATGCTTAAATATGATGAATTCATTAATTTGAGTTTTTAAAATAGTCTGATACTAGAGACTTTCTGGTCCAATAGATACTACTAGGGTCGTACCTAATCAGGCTACCTGAGATCGCAAAAAGTTTATGAATTCCATGTTTTTGAGTTTTAACAGTCATAATTATCATAAATCATCATAAAAAACCTCAAAACAATACACAATTTTCTTTCTAAGTGGTATTTCTAGAAATGTCGTTTTCAAGATTTTTCTTAGTTTGGGGTCATTCACAAACAATGCCAATAATCAAGATCAATGTCATATGCAACTATCAAGTATTATATATTGTTAGAAAGGTATTGACTTAAGCTACAATAAACAGGAAACAGAACTGAAAAATATTAAGTTAAACAAAAGTTAGAGTCATTTGAGTGGTGCAAAAAACATACAAGTCATCAGATATCAAATGTACCCTATATATCGACAAATTTAGAACTTTTTGAAAAAATTTCTTCACAGGTTGTCTTTAAATATTATTTGCAATTAGAAAACATTACAAAACGTTTCTACTATGAATGATTTGTTGTTTTTAAAAGAAAAATCAGTTTTTGGCTTAATATTTCACGACTTACACTAACCAACTTTTCTCAAAAACGTACCTTGTTATTTCTAATGTTTATACAGTTTTACAAACTGTATATCAAGAGCTATATTTCTGTATATTCAGTTACCTGGAAATCAACCTGCTAAGATAGTTGCGGCACGGTTGAAGATATTTTTCATAGGATTTTCGTACATTTCCAACCATACCAGCACCAAAACTGGAAAGTTAAAAATTTTACAATACATTAAAATAAAGCTCTTATATTGTTCTTATAGGAACCGAAAACAATTTTTCAATAACTTTAAACATTGCAGAGATTTTTAAGTTTAAATATGTCATGAAAAAACCAGTTTTTTTGCTCATTTTCAACTTCAAATAGCTCTAGAATCTCAAAAACAGCACAAAATAGTCTGAAATTTGGCATGCAAGTCTAATTTAATGTCCTCTACAAGAAAAAAATACCCCGAGAACCTAAATTGAAAGAGTCCTATTTTCGAAGTGAATTACCCCTTTTTTTCAATTTTGCCCCATAGTGTACTTGGTTCTTTGCTCAAAAACATTTAAAATGTTTTATTTGTATTTTTTTAAGCACTAAAATATTTATGCAAAGTTTCAATCCATTAGTATAAACCCTCGAAGAAAAAAGTGAGAAAATTGATTTTGACTAGGGTCGACCCTAGTCCAAAATTGAAAATGTATTTCCTACTTGGTTCTTTGCTCAAAAAAGTTTTAGAATGTTTTATTTGTATTTGTTTTAAGCATTAGAATTTTTATGCAAAGTTTCAATCCATTTGTATAAACTCTCGAATAAAACAGTGAGAAAATTGATTTTGACTAAAGTCGTCCCTAGTCCAAAATTGAAAATGTATTTCCTACTTGGTTCTTTGCTCAAAATAATTTATGATGTTTTTTTTGTATTTGTTTTAAGCATTAAAATATTTATGCAAAGTTTCAATCCATTTGGATAAACCCTCGAAGAAAAAAGTGAGAAAATTGATTTTGACTAGGGTCGCCCCTAGTTCAAAATTGAAAATGTATTTCCTACTTGGTTCTTTGCTCAAAAACATTTAAAATGTTTTATTTGTATTTTTTTAAGCACTAAAATATTTATGCAAAGTTTCAATCCATTAGTATAAACCCTCGAAGAAAAAAGTGAGAAAATTGATTTTGACTAGGGTCGACCCTAGTCCAAAATTGAAAATGTATTTCCTACTTGGTTCTTTGCTCAAAATAATTTATGATGTTTTTTTTGTATTTGTTTTAAGCATTAAAATATTTATGCAAAGTTTTAATCAATTTGGATAAACCCTCGAAGAAAAAAGTGAGAAAATTGATTTTGACTAGGGTCGCCCCTAGTTCAAAATTGAAAATGTATTTCCTATTTGGTTCTTTGCTCAAAAAAGTTTTAGAATGTTTTATTTGTATTTGTTTTAAGCATTAGAATTTTTATGCAAAGTTTCAATCCATTTGTATAAACTCTCGAATAAAACAGTGAGAAAATTGATTTTGACTAGGGTCGCCCCTAGTCCAAAATTGAAAATGTATTTCCTACTTGGTTCTTTGCTCAAAAAAATTTTAGGATGTGTTATTTGTATTTGTTTTAAGCACTAGAATATTTATGCAAAGTTTGGATCACTTTGGATAAACCCTCGAAGAAAAGTGAGAAAATTGATTTTGACTAGGGTCGCCCCTAGTCCAAAATAGAAAATGTTTTACCTACTTGGTTCTTTGCTCAAAAACATTTAAAATGTTTTATTTTTTTTTTAAGCACTAAAATATTTATGCAAAGGGTCAATCCATTTGGATAAACCCTCGAAGAAAAAAGTGAGAAAATTGATTTTGACTAGGGTCGCCCCTAGTCCAAAATTGAAAATGTTTTACCTACTTGGTTCTTTGCTCAAAAAAATTTTTTTCATCCAAAGTCTAATTTAAAATAAAAAAAAATCACAGTGAACTTTTAATTTGAAAAATTCGTAAGAAAGGAAAGTTTTTTGCTTTTTCTGAAGCAACGGCTGTTCCTACCTTGCCCAAAAACTATACAGCTCTTCTTTAAAGCAGCACGGATCAAATATTAAAAAAACTTGAAGTCTCTACAATGTCTTGTTATTGAGATTTCTTGCTGATTAACTTGCTTGTTTGCTTGCTTACAGAAAGCTTATTTTGCGATTTTCTCAGCAATGCCGCAACCAATTTGAAATCTGTTTTTTGCAAAAGATGTGAAATTCAAGGCACAAACTTTTCATTTCTGAACATTTTAAGCTATCTTGCTCCATATCCTCACAAAATTCAAAAAACTTTCAATCTGAACAAAACCAATAGATTCACACGTGAAAACGGTGTGAACATAAAAACATCTAGTAACGCATCAATATTTATTCAGTTAAGTTTAGCTTTTCTTTTGTAACATTTATTTGAAATTCAAAAAAGACCTAGAATTTGGTCCTTTTTCATAGTTTTGATCCCCTCAAATAGTTGAAAATTTGAAATGTTTCATTCAAATATCAACTTTTGACGAAGCAGCATCGCTCGTGTGAAAAATTGTGAAAAAAATTGTATAATTAACTATAGTAAAGATGAAACGCTCAATTAGCTGCAGTACTGTGTCCAGCAAGGTCCAGATCATCGAAGGTATGAAATAATTGAATTAAAAAACTAAAATAAAAACATGCTTTTCTAAAATTGATTGCGAAAAATCAACACAGATTCTACGTTTGAAGCTCCTGCGAGTTGTTTAATACAAACATTCAATAGCAGAAACAGTTAAAAGCTGATTAAAACTTTAAATTTTTGAAATTTCAATGAAAATTTTAAGATTTTGCTTCGTTTGCATTTTTAACATGTAATTTTACCTTTCATTTGCTTAGATTTAAAGTTGAAGGTTACAATTGTAAATGTTTAAAATTTTTGAATCTAAAAAACTCGTTAATTATAAGGGTTTTAAAATTCACAAACTCATTGGAATTTATCATAAATTACGTCCGTTGTTATCTCCTAATGTGTTAAACTTCTTTTGTGTCTCTTAATAGACAAGTATGGACAAAGCGGTATTCCAATTAAGATTAAATCAAACCATTTCAAGATTGAACAGCATGAGGATTTTAAACTGACTCAATATCGGGTTGATTTTGAGCCTGAAGTAACTATTACGAATACCAAGAAGAAAATTATTGGTGATAATAAGGAAGCTCTGAATTTAAAGCGGTACATTTTTGATGGCAATAACTTATATTTGAGCAAAAGTTATGAATATTTTGTTTTGGAAACAACATTCATGGATCGTCCCATGAAAATTATTATTAAACGGACCAATAAAGTAAAATCAACTGATCCTATGGCTTTCCAAATCTTTAATTTGATCTTGCGTGATTCTATGAGCGCTCTTAAGTTACAAAACATTCGTCGTAACTTTTTCGATCCGGCTGCTAAAAAGGAAATAAAGAATGCAAACTTGGAGATTTTGCCTGGATATTTAAGCTCAATTCGTCCATATGAAAACGATAACATTTTGATGTGCTCAGAAGTTATTCATAAGTTCCTTCGTAAGGAAACTATTTACAACATTTGTCGCGAAATGATGAAGGATCCTCGGACAAAAGATACATGGAAAGACATATTAAAGAAGGAAATTGTAGGAACTGTTGTTTTAACAGAATATACTAACAAGACATATCAAATAGATGACATTGATTACTCCATGAGCGCTAATTCCTCCTTCAAAATGGCAAACGGTGAATCATCGACTTATATAGAATATTATCAGCAAAAGTACGGAATCAAAATTGAAGATCCTCGCCAGTTCATGCTCGTATCTAAATCTCGGGAACGTGACATTCGTGCTGGTCAGCCTGAATACATCTATTTAATTCCTGAATTATGTCGTGCAACAGGAATGACTGATCGTATGCGACAGGATTTTCGTTTAATGCAAGAAATTTCGGCTTATACTCGCTTAAATCCACAAAAGCGTGTTGAAGCATTGGAAGGCTTTAACAAGAGACTTCAAACGACACCTGAATCAATGAAGATTTTAAATGAATGGGATATGAAATTGGATCGAGAATTGATTGAACTTGAAGGACGCGAATTACCAAAAGAATCCATTGTTTTTGGAGGTAACCAAACTGTTGGTACAAACGAAAAGGCTGAATGGAGCATTCGGGGCAGCACTACAATGTTTAAGAATATTGATTGCGTTCGCTGGATATTTTTATATCCTGAAGATATGGAACAAGAATCTATGAAATTCTTGCATTCTTTAATTGAAGCTGGTAAAACCATGAATTATACAATTGCCACTCCATTGCACAAAGCAATTCAAGATGATCGCCAACAAACTTATGTTCGTGAAATTGATCAAATTGCCCAAAAGGAGCCTCGATTTATTTTAATTGCTTTACCAACGAACCGTGCTGATCGTTATTCAGCTGTTAAGCAAAAGGCAATGGTTGAATATGGAATCCCTTGTCAAGTTGTTGTCAAGAATCGTGTTATGAACAATAAGAATTTACATTCAATTTGCACAAAAGTTGCAATTCAAATTAACGCCAAGTTGGGCGGCATGCCGTGGTCTATTAAGTTACCAGTCAAGGGATTAATGACAATCGGTTTCGATATTTCCCATAACAAGTCAAAGAGCATTGGAGCTTTAGTCGCAACTATGGATTTGAATAAGAGTGAGGAATTTTATAGTGTCACGATGGAATATAAAGACGGCAATGAAATGGTTAAGGAATTGGATAAGTATGTCCAAATTGCAATTAAAAAGTATTCTGCAACTTGTGGATCTTATCCAGAACGCATCGTCTTTTATCGTGATGGAGTTGTAAGTAACTTAAAGACTGCATTGATTTCTAAATTTACTAATGAATTTTTTTCTTACAATTTATAGGGCGAGGGACAATTTGAATACATTATGAATCAGGAAGTCATTCCGATGCAGCAAATGCTGACAAAATTCTATGTGAACGAACCAAAATTGGCATATATTTTGGTCAACAAGCGTACTAATGCTCGATTCTTCAAGCCAATGGGCAATGGATATATTAATCCAAAACCAGGCACAATCATTGACACAGAAATTACTTCTTTCGATCGCAAAGAGTAAGTTAAATGATATTTCATAATCTTTAATAATTCTAATGTTGATTTTTTCCTAGCTTTTTCTTAATAGCCCAATCTGTTGGACAAGGAACTGTATCACCAACTCACTATACGATTCTAGTTAATTCTACTGGACTTTCAACAGATCGCCTGCAATTGTTGACTTTCAAGATGTGCCATTTGTATTTCAATTGGGGTGGAACTGTTCGCATTCCTGCTGTTTCGCAATATGCCAAGAAACTGGCATTCTTAACTGGTCAATCGCTTCAAAAACCAGTCCATGAAAAATTGCGCAATACTTTGTACTTTTTATAAACATTTAAATTAAGTTCTAAACTGGTTTCACCTTATTATACATAACATATCATGTGAATTCTTGAAGAATGACATCATTTTTAATAACTATTTTTTTACAACTTATTATTTTATTCCTGTATGAATATTTGGAATTGAACTGAAATAAAAATAACTTAGATTTAGTACAAAAAATTATTAAACTTTTCACTTAAATTAAATAATCTGGCATGCATGATGTGAATATGATTTTATAGACGTGATCCGCTTCATTAAAAGTTTATATTTGTTGGTTCGCGATAAGATTGAGTTTTCATTTCTCCAAAAATAAAAAGTAAATCTCGCTTAATCCATGTTCAACGATAATATAATTAAATATTTATGAATCATCCCAATATTCACACTTTGATGATCATCGTGCGTACTTTTAACTCTTTTTTTTTTTTTTTGATTTCGCGTTTATAAACTTTTCACGCTAGAATGATAATAATTATAGTAATTATTCTATTATAATAATAATAAAAAGAGTAAATTTATGCATTTCTTTATTATAAAGTGAAAATCTTGTGCATTAATAAAGCATTAGAGTAGGTGAAGCTATATAGTATATCTTCACAGTTATTGCATTTGATGTAAATGAAATTTATACTCTTTAATTTTTTTTTGTACAGACGAATGAACAATTTGAAGCTTGTACCTACGTTGTCAAATAATTTACATACATAACTTTGAAATGTTATCGCAAAAACATCTTGTATCTTGTATTTAATTACACTTTGAGTAATTATAGCTTCGAGTAATTTGATGAGCATTTTTTATGAATAATGATTTTTAATTAATCTTAAATTACTGACATTGATAATAAAATCAATGAGTCGATAAAAAAAATAATGCACAAATTTCTCATGATTAATTCAAGTTTATGAGCTTGGTTGAAAGTTTTAGGATTATATCGATCAACGGTAAAAAATATTTTAAAAATCAACTCGATAAAGCATAAAATTCAAATTTCAAGAATCCGTTAAATTTAGAATTTTCAAAAACCGTTAAATTCTCATCTATTTCAAGACGAAAAATTGAAGAGCTTTAAAACCCAACAACATTAATTGCCGATTACCTCACACATAAAATGCTTGTGTATGTGCAAAATGATGAACACAGCACATAAGTGTATTTTATTTTCATCATTCCACACATTTTTCATCCATATATGGGCATAAATAATAACGATTCTACTGCACCTTCTTTTTCTTATCAGTGGAGAGCAAATAAATGCTTTCATGTAGTTGTAGCATAAATCATTGTCTTGTTATGTTTTCATTAAATTATCATTTTATTGCTATATAAACATATGCCTGCCTTACTTTACACAGCATCATTAATTCTACCTCGACCTAATCTCTCTTTTCTAATTTCCGTCTTTTTCCATGACGGGATGTTCTTTTTAAGTTCATGTGCATTTGGGAATTGAAGTTTCTTCTCTGGGCCTTCAAATGGATGAGTTTTTGCTAATCTTTCCTCTAAATAGCGCTTATTTACATCTTTTGGATCAGCGTAACGATCAAGGTATAAGTTGAATGGCTGCTTCAATGGGAATTGCTTCTGATAGTTGAGGTAGGCTTTTGGGAAGTCATACTCGAATATTGGCTGCTTCATATCTGTTTTATGATGCTTGATTAGATAAGAAAAGGTTTAAAAACATGTTTGAGACTTACTGAGTTCTTTATGGAACACATCTCTTACACTCTCGTCCCATTTTGATTGAAAAAATGCTAAGCCTGATGGAGTTATGCTGTCTTCATGGTTCTTATAGAAATCAAATGTGCTAAATGTCCTCTTTTCTAAATCCTTTAAGTCTGTCACTTTCATAGACGATAAATCTAATTTCTTGTCTTGTTTGTAAAGGACGAAAATGTATCGATGATATCCAGTTCCTTTCGGTGGGATTGGTTGCAAATAAGGAACGATTTGGTCTCCTTTTGAGATGTCATTGTTTGGTATGTTTGAACTGTAATAAAATAATGTTTAAAACTTCATATTCATAAAAATATCATTTGTTCCCTACACCATCCAATGGACATATTCGCTATTTTCCTTTGTTAAGTGACCGTCTGGATTTGTTAGAATTAAAGTCCATAGTGTATTCTCTTCCGGCTTTTGAGAGTATGATAAGGCAAACTTGTGTTCAAATGATACTTCCGGAACTGATTTGGCTTGCAATGGGTGCACTTTATTGCCATTATAAACTGGATAGACTGTATCTTCATTGAGAGGAAACTGAAAAGTGAATAAATCATGAATAATTTATAAAATTAAAAGGTTTATTTTAGAGATCTACCTTTATGTCTAGGAATACTCTCGGGACAAAGTATGCGTACTTTCCGAAAAGATCATCATAAACTCCATAATGCTCAGCAATCTTGCGAATGTGAAATGGTCCTGCTGTTTTAAACCAATCAACCTTAACGTCATCTAAATTTATTTGTACTAGAAGTGGCAAAGTTGATTAATAAAAAAATATCACATATATTCAACTGTAACTTACATTTAGTAGTTCTTGCGGCCTTTTCTAAACTGGAATCTGACCTTTGTTTCTTCAAATGATCAAATCGTTTATTGAATTCAGCTGATCTAGGTGGTTTTTGGTAAGGAAATCCAATGTCATTGCGTTTTGCAACTTCTTCATCAAGAATAACCGGTGCTGTAATAAAGGTAATTAAGGATTTTAATAGCACTAATAATTTTGCAATCAAAACTTTTACCTAATCGCTCTTTTAGTGATTTTGCAATATCTGGTGCTTTTCCTCTCATTCGATGACCATGTCGAGCCTGAATAACGATTGGCGAACAGAATCTAAGCAGTGTCATCGATCTATAGCTCATTTTCAATTAATTTATTAATTATTTTAAAAATTCACATGTATCTTTACTGGTGTGAGTCTCACCAACACACAGATTTTTGTAAACAAAGCTTTGTAGATTTTCAAATTTTACAAAACCGTTGAGAAATTTAAACTATAAACTACCGTTGGAAGAACTTTTTACTCGAACTTGTTAATTAAATTAACACGACAATTCACAGGATTTTTGACATTGATTGTATAATATTTATTGTATTGTTTGGTTTTTTTGAGTTGAATGTATATATTTTTATTGCAGTTTACCGCCAATTAACTTTAGATGCTTCAATGGAAAAACTTCCCTGACACTGAACAATTTTTCATGTATATAAATGTATTTAGGAGTAATTTATGGTCATAACATATACATTAGGAGCTGAAAAGTGCCATATATTTTGCAATAACTTGAAATTCTAAATATTTTTTCTCATTAATTTCGTTTGAAAAACTTTAGCCGTGTTTAAGCTAAACGTTTTATAATAAGTTTAAATGAAATTTGTTGAAAATTGATAAATATGACATATTCATATTTTTTGTTTTTGAAAGGCAATATCAAACTTCATATTCATAGATTTTTTTTTTTTTTGGAAAAACTAGTACATGAAAATAAATAATAGAATCAAATAGGAATATCATATTCGTTGAAGCCATTATTGTCCTTAATCTTGGTTCAGATACTTTAAGATTCTCAGCATGTAAATGAATAATTGGATGATATCCATGTAAAGGTTCACTGGAAGATACAATGATCAATTAGATTTAAAACTTAAATACAATGCTAAATACAATACTTACATGCAGCAAAAATGTATTCTTCTGGTGAAAGACTGTAGCTTTTTTCACCACCCATCATAATTTGTGTGTCATAAACAATGTACATTGAGAATATTGCAGCTCCAGCGCAGGCAATGATGAAGTTGCCCAAGTCATTCCTGAAGAAAAGGGCTCCAATCAAGCTTCCGACAGTCAGCAAAAGAAGACAAACACACAGGAAGCCTCCGCATCTTTGTAAATAAAGTTTAATTAAGTTTGAGTCATTTTCAAAAAAACGGTTAAAAAAATATTTGAAATTTATGCTCGAAAAACATAAATTTTAGAATCAAGCTACAAAGAACTCATACTTACGTAGTAAAGTCATATTTTGTTTGGAAAGCGAAGCAAGTTAAACCAATAACAACGACAGCAGTTAAGCCAACAGCCATCAATACCTGAAAAGACATTAAATAATTTAAAATCACATCATAACTTAAGCACGGATTTACTTACGATATTTGGAGCATAGGTGCTGCTAATGAAGCCCACCAAAAGAGATTCGAAGAATGTAAACAGTCCTAGTAAAATAATGTTAGTGGGAGATGAACGACGAGCAGATTCCGAACATGCAATAACACAAACTAAAGCAATAGTTCCAATCATAGGAATAATCATTAATTGTGGATTTCTGTGAGCATATAACTTGACATCTTGGTTCAATACAAAAAGGCAGACAAATCCCAACGTGACAAGCAATTGTACCTGCAAAATAATTCACATCTTATTATTAAATTCCAAACTATGACTGATTTTTGTGGGAGAAAATGTTCACTGAATATTTCCAGGTGTTTAATATCATCCGAGATGCTCAATTTGTTTGTTTATTATTCGCAACTTTTTGTTCCTGGACACAAAGATCTATATTATTTTAACGTCAACAATACTCACAGATAAAATGGAATAAACACGACGGATAAAGCCTGCACGAATAGATTTGTCGCTAAATCCCATGCCAGCTGCATTAAAATTTGGATCGTCTCCCTCCATGTATGGTGGATTTATTGGTTTCGATGGATCATAGCCTGATGGTTGCTGTTTAATTAAATGTTAATAAAAAAGAGAAAACTTAAGTTTATTGATTGTCATAACATTTTCTGTAACATCATTGGTATGTTACTTAAAATGACTTAAATCAAGACTTTAAACTCTACAATCAATCCAATGCATCTTTAATTCTCCAATTTAGAATCATAATAATAGTAGGTAGGCGTAAAGAATGACCTTGTGAAATAATAAATGTCCAAGTTCATAATATTTATGGCTATAATTGTGGTTAAATGAACATTGTTTTCATTTGCTTGATTAAAGAGATCAGAAGTTAAGCTAATTTTAGATGTATGGTTTATAGCTCAGAAACTATTAATAGCCATGCATTTTCATTAAAACATGATTTCTAAGAAATATATGTTAACATTAGAACTTAGCAAATCAGTCATATGCTGTCGATTCTAAGCAGTTAATTCACTTATATTTCAACTTAAGTCTCAACAAATTCCTTATCAATAAATGCCAATATAAACATACTTGTGGATAATATGGTTGACTTGGCTGTGGATATGATGGATTAGCGAATCCAGTTGTGCCAGGCATTTGAAATCCTACATTTGGTTGTGGCTGAAATCCAGGCTGTGGAGGATAAGAAGGTTGTTGATATCCTGGTTGTCCCCATTGTGGCTGTTGTTGTGGTGGATATGGAGGATATCCAGCACTGTACGGATTGTTTGGATCATTTGTTGGGTCTAGAATTGAATAAATTACAAAAATTATTTAATGATGATAAGAATATTGCCTTAATTAGGAAATTCCTATAATAAGACATAACTAGTTTGCGCTATAATTGATTGATGTTATGAATCATCAATGTATGTACTGCAAATTACAATAACAAAAGTTATTACTTCTTTTGTTACATCCAAATGATATCTTACACAAAGGAATATACTAAAATTCATTAATTTGACAGTAGTATGCAGCATACGTGACATGCAGATGCTCTTATCTGATACTTGAACTATGATCAATCTTTTATCGATAATTAAGAATACTTACATGGTGCAGACATTTTTAAAATTTATTTTCTGCCCTATTTAAATGTTATTCCAGTGAATTAAAGTTCTATTAACACTTTTCTATAGCTTAATTAAATGTTAACACCTTCTTTTGACTAAGTTCTTGCTTATTTCTATTGTTTTTAATAATTTTCGTTTTATTTTTCCAGAATATTTTTTTTAATGGTGAAATTCACAAACAAAATAAGCCTTTCGAATTGAAAGTGACCAACTCCTTCAAACGATTATATACATGCTCTATTTGTATTTTGATGAAGACTATGATACTTGAATTTAATTTGAAGCTACTGATTGTTATGAATGACTCAATATAACTTTAGTTTTAACTCTTCTAGGAACGGACTAAACTGCTTTTTGCATGCAAGACTCAATTTTTATTTTCAACTCATAATTTCAAATTTCCAACAACCGTTATTTTTCTCATCAAAATATTAAATTTATTAATCCATATTTCTCTGAATTTTTATACATTTAAACACCAAAAATTTTACATGTGATGAGTTATGTGAACATATATATAAAGACATCCTTAACACTAAATAGAATTCTTTTTCATTTCATCATCAAGTCTTCCCAAAAAAACAATAAAAATGTATATAAATAATTTAATTCCTTCGCTTCTTTTCGCGTTGATTTTGATTTGAATTTTCATTCAAATAACGGAGGATTTTGAGCAATTCCAAAAAGATTCTCATGATATCGACATAAAGGTTTAAGCTGGCAAAAATGTATTCTTCTGGTGAAATCGAAAGAGACTTATCGCCCATGATTAATTGGAGATCATAAATGATGTACATTGAGAAGATTGCAGCTCCAGCGACTGAAAGCATGAAACTGAAGAATTCCCCGCGGTAGAAAATAGAGACTAAAGATCCGAGCATCAATGCCATCAATGCTGATGCAAACATTCCCCCTTTCCTATGATATTAAGATAATAGAATCAATAATTGCCTGCACTGGATTTTAATTTAATCTTAGGATTTAACTTAATCTCAATTTTTAATCTATAACAAGATATAACTCGAAATGACACTTACATTGTGAAATCTTCCTTAGTTGTTGATGCGTAGGTAGCAAGTCCAAAAACGATAGCAGCTGTAAGTCCAACAGCATAAAGAACTTCTTCGACTTCGTAGAAACTTGAAATTAAAGCAACAAGGAATCCTTGACAAACTGTATAACTTGCAAGCACAATTAAATTCAAAGGTGCTGTTCTGCGAATAGATGGTGAGAAGCCCATTAAAAGACTAAGTCCGAGTGTGGAGAACATTGCTACATTAAGCATCCATGTATTTCTGTATGCAAAGCTCAAAGCTCCTTCATGGAATTGGAATAGGGCAATCATTGCGACTGTGAATGTCAATTGAGCCTAAATAGTAACAAGTAACAGAGAAGATACAAAAACATTTTTATTATTATTGTTGTTGTTTCTGCTGCTTTGTAAATGAACGACACGTAATCCTGATATGAAATAGTTTCTGTATTTACGAAATTTATGACTATTTCGCGATTTTTCTTATTGTGTATGTAAAATAGATAAGGATATTAAATGATAATGCATATATTTACTTACCGAGACAATTGAGAAAACCTTTTGAATAAAACCATTTCTAATGGATGATTTAGTGAATCCAAAATTTGGTACGAAATCATCTTGTGTCTTGAAATTACCCCATTGATTGCTGTTTTGAGACGAATCTCCGAAACCATAAGATCTTTGATCATACTTTGAGGCTATTGGATGTTGAAAATTATCAATTATCGTGCATTAATAAAATTTCGCAAGGTTGTTTCTGGAAGCTTCAAAATAAATATTTGTTCACTTACCCATTTTTTTATCGTTTTCCTATCTTTTCACTATAAAACAATTTGATTTGACTTTCTTGAAATACTAGATATATTAAACGTTTACTTAAATGGCTGTTAATATAATTATCTTGACTCTTTCCTTTAATATTATGAATTTAAATGAAATGAAAATATATTTTGACTTAATCTTTTATCCAAAAATTAATAGTTGTGTACCCCCCAATTCAAATATTTTTTAACCGTTATGTTCAATGATTTTTCCAAGTATTCAATCTGTTAATAATGTTTTAACTTCCTTATATGTAATATGTTAATAATAAAAGTAAAAAAAAGCAACATATTGTAAGCAATTAAAAAGTAAATAGATATGTCTTTAAACTTAATAACGACCAAATGGATTGGGGCGAGCTCGAAATTCTGTCTTTTGTCGAATAATTTTACGCTCTTCCAAGTCATGTTGTCGTTGCAAAATCTCCTGCTGCTTTTCCTTAATGACCAGAGCTTCCTGTAATTGTCTATCAAAAGTTGATCGTTGCATCATACGCTGTGTCAAGACTAATTTGAATGGTTTGGCATCTAATGCTTTAAAGTTATGTTTTGGTTGGAAAATTGGTTTCTGTAGGACAGCAGCTGGTTTTGCCTTAAAATTGACATTTTCAGGTTTATACTTTTCAATCAATTGCTTCTTATGTTCCTGCATTGCCTTAATTCTTTCTGGATTGCCACAACTTGGAACAATACGATTTCCAGCTTGTGGACATGATTTCTTATGGATGGTCGATATATTCGGCATTGATTGCTGCTTGACCAATTTCTTCTTTTCTTCATGAGAATTTTGTTTTGCTATTTGCTGCTTAGTTATTATTGCCTGTAAAGATGGTGCAGTTTTAACGAACTTTGGAACTGGTTTTGCTTGAAATTTGAATTTTAATTCCTTTTCTTCTTCTGCCTTAATCTTCTTAGTCAGCACTTCCTTACGTTTCTTCTGGATTTCAGCCTGTTCATAAAGTTTATCAATTTTCGTGTTCAATTTCTGGTGAGAGACACTTTTTGTCAGTACTTTCTTGGTTTCTTCTTTCTTAGCTATGTTTGTCGATGATGACGATACGGATGTTGACTTTTTTAACGGAGCTTTTGACTGTTTAGCAGGTTGCTTAGCTGATGGCTTTGATACATTTGGTTTAGTTGCAATATTGGATGGAGCTTGACTTTGAAGATTCGACTTCTTGACAATTGAGACAGCAAGAATTGCTCGATTTGTCTGCTGTTGTGCCGGTTTATTTATCGGGACATTCTCCTTATTGCTAGCTTTGTTTTGTTTTGGAACGTCAGTTTTAGCCGTCGCTAAGAGGTGTTAATGTGTACGAAACAAAAAAATAGAAGAGAAAAACATGCAAAATATAAATCAATTAGTTGCTTTCGGGGTGAGAAAAATGAATGAATTTAGGTCGGAAGGAATAAAATATACATAAGTGCGATTATGTTAATACGGTCGAAAAAAAGGAGGTTTATATTTGAATATTGTAATGTATGAGTTAACTGACCTGCTGCATTTGCCAGAGACGACTTCTGATGTACTTTAAGCTTTTTATCCTCAAATTCAATGCCCTTTTCGTGCAGCGAATGTGTTCGTCCTGTCAAAATAAATTGGTTAATGTATTGAATGGATAGAACTAGATCACAGACTATTTTTTGAAGATCAGAATTTTTTTTCATCATTTAAATCGAAAAACTCACTGAAAAATCCTTGCGAATGATTCAATTCAGGTCGACCGATGTCTAATGTATCCCAATAATCCATTAAGAACGCCATTATACAGTAGTTATCACTAGAAATTAAATAAATAAACTTATTTCGACACCTTTGTTCAACGAATGTTTTTGCTTTCAACAGACTTTTTGAATTGAGTACGAGAGTTTGATTACGAATAAATCTTGTCTAAAGCGCATTTGATGAAATGCCTGATTTTCCAGGAAATTCATCAACTCCACTCATATTAAGTTATAATATTGGATAATTTATGGCAAGGAAGAGATAGGATTTCAGTTACTATTTAATTTTAAACAGCCAGGCAGTAATTTTGATAACACCAACCACCTATTATACATAAGCATGCTAATATTTCGAAAAATTAAAAAATTCATTAATAAAACGATATTTAAGCATCTAATTCGTTGAATTACAGCATAAGCATAGTGATAACATGCTGTAGAAGCCATCATAGCTTTAAAAATCACGAATAATTGATCAAAATGTCGACAAATTTTAACGGTTGAAAAATATTTGAAAGAAAAAAAACAGTCTCTAAAACAGTTCGACTTCGGAGATACAATTAATTATTTTTCTACAGTCTAAATGCAATAAATAATTGTTAATTTGGGAATATCAAGTGATAAGTTGTTAGTGGACATTGAATGCTATATTAAATTGGATTTAAATCATGCGAAATTAATGTTTATTGATTTTTTTAAAGTTTTTTTTTTACTTTATTGATTTTTTTTTGTCATTTTTTTTTGCATAACGAAAACTGCTTTTAAAAACCAATAATCTGACCGAAAATGATCCAGATGAAATCCGAGAATGCTGATAAGCAGCAAATAACGATGAATAAAGCTGAGGGAGTAGTCGATAGCGTAAGTAATGGAACAACGAATTCAACGGCGGCATCAGGAAGAAAAAAACGTTCTGCAGAGCAATCAATCAAAAGTGAGTATAGATGCATACATATAGCAGTCTATAGCAGTGTCTGACAAACTGTATGAAGCGATTTAATTTTGATTTTTAGAAAATATTCAGGTAAATTTGGATTTAAATGAACGCCAAAAGTGAGCACCGCCATTCATGAAAAATGTTTTTGCAGTCACTTGTCTATAGTCTTTAAATTTTCATTAATTTATTTGTACTAATATAATCATCGAATTTCCTTTGTTTTGGTGTAGCATCGTCTCGTAAGCGCCGCAAAGGATCTACCAACAATCAGCAGGATCCACAACCAAAAAATGCAGTCGCTATACTAAACGAGTTGAAGAAAAATCTAGTGTATGAGCTTGAGTCACAAGAAGGACCTTATCATGCACCTGTATTTACCATGTCTGTTTTGGTAAGCTATAATTAAACTTTTTTAAAACAAGCTTATAATTAATTTCATGCTTTAATCTAATAATTTATTCATTTGCACCCTTGACAGGTCGATGGACAAAAATACATTGGACAGGGAAAGTCAAAGAAGCTCGCACGAATCGACGCAGCAACGTGTGCATTGAGAGATTTCATTCAGTTTAAAGACCAACAAATAAAGAATGGTGTGATTGGAATGATGTGCGGACGAGTTGTGCAGCAAGCTGCCAATACAAATAATGCTTTAAATAACAATTATGATTATGATTTCACAAGCGACGATCATATTGAAAATACCGGTATATTGAATTCCAATAACTCAAACATTAAAAAAGATAATGACACAGTCAATTCAATTATTAATAATAATAATAATAATAATCAAAACCACACACTAGAGGATGAAAATTTAGTTAAAAAAATTCAACAAAGTTTAGAATGTTTCAAAAAATCCAAAACAGAAAACATTGCATGGGTCAATCGACTTCAAAGCAAGTATTTTATTTATTTTTCTTTTCTGGTATAAAGCAAAAAAAATTATCAATTATGATTTTTAATGTTGACGCATATCATGATGCTATGTTTGTGCTCATGATTTAATTTGTTCGTGGCTATGTTTGTTATTCGAAAATATATATAAATATTAGGGATTTATTATATTTATAAGAAAAGGAAAAAGGATGAAAATGCTATCTATCTGTTTCATATCACACAGTCAGTCAGTCAGTCACACACAGAGATTACATGCATTTTAACCATTTAGACTAAGATTTATTGTCATGTCCATATCATCAACATCATCATTATATTTATCTTTTTCCTTATTTTTTCATTATATCGTGTCCTGAGCAGTACGAGAGGTAGATCGGGAAGCATTAATTTATGTCGCTAAGTTGCTTAGCAGAGGATTAAATAATTATCCGAAACTAAAGGTTTTAGGAAATTTAAACCCGAAAACCTTTCAAATTATATTGGATCTTAAAAACATTTGTAAGGTTTTAATATTTATTATCAAAAATAACGATTTTTAAAAATTTGAATTTGAAAACCCTACAAATTATATCAAACATTTGGAGGGTTTCATAACACAACATTTATAATGCTTTCATAAATTTAAAAAAAATAACTTCAAATATTGAAAACGTGTATCAAAGTTATTTCTCACGTTACGATGAAATGCTTACCCTTTCCGATTCATGTTCGACTCGGGACATATTGCTGTTAATCGTTGTATTGTCGCATGCTGCAAACTAATTGATTGATAAAATGTATTGGGCTGTGCTAAATTTTGTACATCTTCTTTTCCGTTCCTCCTTATCCTTACACATAAAAATTACAATTACACATAACACACACATAATATATGACGATATATGATAAATATGTATATTGTATGGGGTCATTCGCAAATGACGTCGATTGAAAAAGTTGGATTTTTTGACACTCTTAAGCGTATAAAGTTTAAATAGGTTAAGGCATCCCACCTCTAATAAACACAATTTGGACGTCATTAGTGAACGACTCCTATCTTATAGCTAATGGTTTTTGGCAAACTGTTTTGTGCTTGATCATAATTTTACCATTAATCATTCATGACTAATTTAAATATATATTTTTTCTCTCCTTCTCTCTTTCTTTCAACTACCTTCCTTCCTTATTTTTTTGTATCAATTCCAAAAAAAATATATAAAATAACCAAAAATCATCATGGATGTTATTTGTAACAAATAATGCATAACTATAATAGAAATCACTAAATCGATAGTAACAGCGAATAGTCAGAATAAAATAACAACCGAAAAAGGACCAGTAATGCTCCTTTATGAGTTATTTACGGATATCACTTTTAATTGTACTCAGACAGTCGGGCCACAGCATGCTAAATTCAAGACTATTGTTACTGTTAATGGATGCCAACAATTTGAAGGAACTGGTGAGTTTCACACTTTTTTCCCTCCATTAATTGTCTTGTGAAGGTCTCTAATGCTTTAAATTGATGATTAATAGGTCCATCAAAGAAGCTATCGAAGAATGCAGCAGCGAAAGCCGCTCTTGCCTCACTGTGCAATATATCCTTCAGTCCTCTTAATCAGAAAGGAATTTTGTTGCCAGGAAGCAACGTTAATGGAGATTCCAACGACAGTATGAGTAATGATGGCAAAAGTAATCACAATAATGTTGAATTGCCTCAAACATTTGCTGATGTTATTGGACGACTGGTATCGTCGAAGTACGAAGAGTTGATGATTGGAAATGAAGTTTATGCTCGTCGTAAGGTTTTGGCTGGTATCGTTTTAACCATTGGCAGTGATATTAAGACAGCTAGAGTTATATCTGTCACAACTGGCACAAAATGCATTAGTGGAGAATACATTAGCGAACATGGACTTGCTGTAAATGACTCGCACGCAGGTACGTGGATCTATTAATTTTTTAGGTCTTTAGTGACCATGCTTACAGTAGGCTTGATGACATAAGCTTTATTAATCTGTATAGAATATTGACTGGTCTTTAGTCTAACAGTATCCTTAAATTATGACCTCTTTATTTCTTATAAAATTATTTTAAATTATAACTTCATTCAACACACAGAAATCGTCGCTCGAAGATGCTTCATGACATTTGTTTACGATCAACTCGAATTACATACAAAACCTGAAATGGCCAAAGATTCTGTTTTCGAAAAGCCATTAGATGGCAATTATTTATACCGATTGAAAGACAATATACAAGTTCACTTATATATAAATACAGCACCATGTGGCGACGCGAGGGTTTTTTCGCCCCACGAAAATGATCAAGCTCTTGATAAACATCCAAACAGGAAGGCACGTGGACAATTGCGAACGAAAGTTGAGTCGGGTGAAGGCACAATTCCCGTAAAAAATTGTGATTCAATTCAATGCTGGGATGGAATATTGAATGTAAATTTGGAACTAAATTTTTTATCATTCAGTACATAAACAACACAAGAAAAAATTAATTTCTAATGATTTAAATTCACTTGTTCTATTCCAAATGAATTAGGGTCAACGTCTTCTGACAATGTCATGTTCAGATAAAATTGCACGATGGAATGTATTGGGATTGCAGGGTGCTTTACTCTCGTCTATCGTACAACCTATTTATCTGCATAGCATTGTTTTGGGATCTTTGCTTCATCCGAATCACATGTACAGGTATGATTGATAGACATCTATCGATATTTATAAATTCGATTTAATAACCCGATAATAATTACCCGTACAGAGCAATTGCTGGACGATTAGAGAAATCTATCAAGGGATTACCACCGCCTTATCGTTTAAATATTCCAAAATTAGCACTTGTTACTTCTTCTGAGGCTCGTTGCCAATTAAAACCCCCAAATTATAGCATTAATTGGACCATTGGACAAAGTCAGATTGAAATAATTAACTCGTTTACGGGAAAGACGGTGTGCAACAAATACAGCCGGCTCACAAAACAAAACATGTTTCATCGTTTTTCACGAATTGTTAGTCAATTGCCAAATGTTTCAAATCGTTCAATTTGTAAAGACTATGGAGATGAAAAAGGATTAGTTTATGATTATCAGGTAATTTAATCGTGTAGACATTTGAGTGTGCATTTTGCATTCACTATTTCATTGTGGATAATTGTGTGATTATTGAAAATGTTGTGAGCTCTGTGGAAAAATTATTGAGCGATCAGTTTGGGATCAATTCTTTTTTGAATTTGTGGCATCATATTAACTTCGAACATTGTGGGATGTGGTATAATTGTAGAAATTGATAGAAATTAGTCACAAATCAGTGGAAAGTCATCAACAAAATTAATAATTGAACAGTAACACTATAAAATCTGTTACAAAATCTTAGACATCCCTAAAGTACTAAATGACACGCATCATAAGACAATAAAAGTAGAGTCTAGATTTATGTGTCAACCTATCATTGTGAGGATTGTCACTTAATTCATTTAGGAAGTTACTTTTTCGTTTTGATTATTTAAACCTCGCTTCAAAGAATTATTCAATAATAAATATTGTGATTTAAGAAAATAATAATAATTAACAGAGCAGATTTAAGTTATTAACTCTACAGCAATAGCAAAACTGCGCTATGAATCACACAGTTTTCAACAATAATAATTTCACATTACGATTACTTCCCATCTCATTTTACTACATAATTTATTTTTATTATCTTCCTCTATTCTAAACAATGAAACAATGTAGCAAGCAAAACGCGAACTGATCGCAGCATTTCAACGAGAAGAGTTGGGTAATTGGTTGAAAAAGCCAATTGAACAAGATCAATTTCCATTGATCTTAAACGAGAAATGACTAATTTTTATCGATAATTTGCACATTCTTGTTACTTATCTCTTCTTTATGATCTTGAGCAACAAAAAAATCCGAAACTTTAACAACATCAACTACAAAAACAACAACAACAACCAAATTATTGTTAATAAGCACAATAAGAATTTTACGATTTTTATTAGACATTTTCTTTCCTCTTTAATGCTCTTAACAAAAACAAGTAATTGTAACAATAATGATGATGATACTTATACTTCTCGCATAAAATTAGCTTTATCAAGTTATTTATTAGAATAGATTAAAATGCAAAAAAAATGTGAAGCAAAAATTTTCAGTGTACATCAACGTTGATTGTATCACAGTGGCCTAGAGTTCGAGTCTCTAAAGTTAAAAAAATGAAAAAGGGAAAAAAATTTGTTGTTATTATGTAGTTTGAAAGAAAAAAGGATGACGCGTGGGTCGGGTTGGATGATTGGATGAAAAAAATACTAACAAATGTGATTCTTTAAGTGCGTATTTTAGGAATCTTTACTTAAAAACTTTAACGATGAATACACGAAGATGGCAATTTTTAGCTGTTAATATTTTTCCATTTTTCATTATGTTTTTCATGATACTTGACTTTACTAATATTAAATTAAAAAACCAAAAAAAAAAAGTATCGTTGATAGTAGATAGATGATAGCAATAATGTGTATAGCGATATTATTATTATTAAAAATGATGAAAACTTCTTTTGTTTTGACTTTTTGGAACAAAAAAAAAAAATGTGCAAAATCAAAATTTGTCAATTTTTGAATATAGAAGAAAAAAAAAATTAATAATGAATTCAAATTGAATTAAAGGTTTTCTGTGATACAATTAATAAACAGATGACGAGGATAAAAAAGAAGATATTTGAAACCTGAAAAAGACAGCTTCCATTATTAGACTTTAGGATTATAAAATGAAGTAAAAAAAAAAACTTTTAATCTCTCCATATAAACCAATATTATAAAATTTTTGAAATTTACAATTTTTATGAATTTTAATCCATTCTTTAAATAATTTTAAAAAGCTATAATATTTTATGCTCCGTATAAACAATAGAAAATTACATTTAAAAACAATTAAATTCTTACATTACATCTTATAAAGTGTATTCAACATAGATCTCTTTCTCTCTTTCTATATTATATTATATTATATCATAAAAAAAATATTTTTTAGTTCCTTATTTCTTAGCGAATTTCATTCGTGAAGATTCATTCAATATTTTTGTAATTTCTCATTACGTTTTATTTTTAATAATTTTTTATGTCATAATTTATGTTGTATTCATTAAGTTCCAATGGGTGCGATTAAGCTGATGCAGCTTTATCCTGAACTAGCTTAGTTATTGAAAACATTAAAGGATTCGGAACTTGATCAAGCTTTAAAGCTCATTTCCAACAGTATTTCTTAAAGCTAATTTGATTCTCGGATCATGTTCGAACTGTTCTAGCTGCTGATGTGACGAACAACTCTGCTGATGTGACTTTAATAGTTCATTAGAGGAACGTGGCATATTGAATGTTTGGAGCAACACTAAGGGGCAGTTCATTTATAACGTCTGTCATAAAACATGATTTTAAGACCCCCTTCCTTCTCTGTCACAAACCTGTCACAGATGTCAATCTCCTCTGTATTTCATAATTGAGGATATCTTTAGTCTAAAGCTAGATCTCATGAACAGCTTGAATTTAAGTCTTGATGAAATAAAATTAATCTCAAACAGCACTCATTGGAACAAACCAAGTGAAACTTTATTCCCCGTACTTTTGTATATTTTTGCACTACCTCGTTAAAAATCAGTTTAAGTTCTGAATTGATTTTGAATCGCATGATGTATTAATATGTACAAATCCTAAATATAATTTATGCAACATATGCTTTATTTTCTTATGTGAGGATTTAAAAATCCTCATGACTTACAACCCTCGAATTGAGAATTTATAAAAATTTTGAATGACTTTATGAAATTTCATAGTAATTTATTTAAGAATTATGAATTTAAGAAAACGAAAAAAATTTTATCAACAATTTTACAAAAAAAAAAAGTCTAGAGAAAATTTTTCTGATGGAAAATTTGATAGTTCCTTTATTGATCATAAAAACTTAAAGTAATACTTACAATTTTATCTCTTTTTAAGAAGTAAAAGTGGCCCTACCGAGATATTATCACTATAATCAAATGAATTCCTTAATTACTCAGAAAAAAAAGTAATAATTAATTAGCTTCGACTTGTGGTAAGATGAGTTTGTGATGTAATTTACTTTTCGGTTAAGATACTCAAATTAGAATTGATTTTTAACGGATGTATTGGATTTAAATAAATAACGGTTTATTTTGATTTGAAATAATCTAGTTCATCAAGATTGTTTGAAATAATCTAGTTCATCAAAATTGTGTCTTGGCTTAAATAAACTTTTTCAAATAATTCCGTTAAAAATGGGTTTCAAAGTCCAAGTTTGAATCTGGTACACTAGATATTTAAACATAGACATAAATCTAGTACTTTTTATTTAAAAAGACATGGTCCTGACCAGATTTTCAAGGATATTCAAATAGGCAAAAACAGCTCATAGCATACTAAAGTATCTACAAACCATAAATTGTTCAAAAGACCAGATTGATATTATAAAACCTTAAAAAGAAATAAGTTACAAAAGATTTAATGCTCAAATCTTAAATTTGTGTTAATAAGTTTGTGTCGTGGTTTTCCTTTCTAATATTAAGTTTAAACCATTTTGACTGAAAAAAAATTAAATTTTGTGATTCTATAATCTAGTCATTTTTGTGTCATAATTTAAATGATTCTAAAACCAAAAATTCTGACCATAAAGTTCATAAGTAAAATTTAACTAAATTATTTTAAATTTATTAACCAGTCACAAGCATATTAACAGATTAAACGAACTCAATTTGTAGCTACGAGCAGCTCTCCATCAAACTCATTTAAACAAGTCGATATTACTTAAATAAAGGAGAAACAAAAAAGATTCTTTAGATTAGTAAATTTTACTATATTTAACTTTTTCTCTCTTCTATCTTTCACATGCATTTATCCCCCCTATAATCAAAGTTTAATAATGAGAAAATCAAAGATGAAATAATAAAAAAAACCTACTTTTTGCTCAAATAGTCATTTTGCGAATTGTAGAATGATGAAATGTAAAATTCTCGAAATAATAAATAAAAAAATTTCTCTTTTCTCAGACAAAAAAATACGAATAAAATAAAACTTAAAAAAATGAAGATCTAAAGAAATTTTTTGAAAAATTTCAAACATAATTTGTTGTTTGATATAAAAAATGAAATTAATTAAATAAAAAAATTTTAACTTTTGATGACGATAAAAAATATATAGAAAGATCATAAAAAAAAGTTGTTCACAAATGATGTTTATTAAAAATTAGAATCCTAGTTCTAATCAAATTTTGTCATAAGTGGCAGTTTATTTTCAAATTTTTAGATCCTAACCTCCGTACTACTAATTCACTCCTATGTGACACCAAATTTAAGTTCAAAAATTTTGAAATCCGTTAAAATCAATTTAATTTTTTTGCTGATTTGTTGAACGAAAATTTTCAGTCAACAAACCCTAAAACTCTACATCACAGCCTTCAATTTCTTCCCAAGAGATAGACGGCATTTGTGAACAACTCAATTAAGAAAACTAATCGTTTAATGATTCTCAAAATTGTACTAATTATAAAAAAATTATAATTTCATGGAAATTTCGGTAATGTTCTTGTAGTTCGAAGGCATTTAGTCAAGAATAGAACAAATCTCTTCCACGAAATCGTAGCGCTCAACTAATACAATTTTTAAAATCATTGAAATTGACAAGAATGAGGAAAAAAACACAAAATTAGGTTTCAGGTTGTGATAGCGTTACACTTAAATGATATGTATGAACATAAAAAAAGCGTTAAACGATTTTAAAAAACCTAAGACAAAAAAAAAATAATTAAATAAATTAAAATTAAGAATGGAATCTCATTGGCGATGTCCTTAGAAACTTTTTTGAATGACTTAAATGAAACCTGTTTTTTTGAATTGGACTTTTTAAAAAAAAGGATTGGAAAATCGCTTTATTCTTCATTAGAAGAAATGGAAGTGAACTTTATTGACGAATAATTATTTGCACTTATGTATTATGTCTTCAGAATTTTATTAAATGAAAAAATGATGAAACGTACATGAAAAAAATTTAAGGATTAATAAATTTAAAAGATGAAGAAAAACGATAAGCAATTTTATTTTAGAAAAACTTCAAATTCAAATGTGTTTTACTTCTTCTGTATTAAGAACTGCTGGCTTTTACATGCATTCCTTAAGTTCCAGATTTAGAGTTGCGAATAAAGTTTTTATTTCAAATTGAAATAAAACATGGATAGGTCAAATGTCAACAACCAACTGCTTTATGTAAATGAATAGACAAGAAACTTAATGTTCGAAATAAGTAAGGAAAGTAGGTGGATTTAAATTATCGCAAACAAGTTGCAAAATAAATTTTATTTCATAAAATAAAGTTAATTTCAGATTTGAATTTCAACTGTTTTTGTATTAAAATTTTGAATTTAGATTTGCATCTCTCGAATACATTCTTTTGAATTTTCTTTTGACTCTAGAATTCACTTTTGCATCTTCTTGAATTCAACTTTGCATCTATTCTACCTTGTTTTTGCAGATTTTTGAATTCAATTTTGCATCTTTTTTAAATCGCATTTGCATTCTTTTGAATTTGCTTTTGACTCTAGAATTCACTTTTTCATCTTTTTGAATTCAACTTTGCATCTATTCTAAATTGCTTTTTCAGATTTTTGGATTCGATTTTGCATCTTTTTGAATTTGCATTTTCATTCCTTTGAATTTGCCTTTGCATCTTTTTGAAATCGCATTTGCATTCTTTTGAATTTGCTTTTGACTCTAGAATTCACTTTTTCATCTTTTTGAATTCAACTTTGCATCTATTCTAAATTGCTTTTTCAGATTTTTGGATTCGATTTTGCATCTTTTTGAATTTGCATTTTCATTCCTTTGAATTTGCCTTTGCATCTTTTTGAAATCGCATTTGCATTCTTTTGAATTTGCTTTTGACTCTAGAATTCACTTTTCATCTTTTTGAATTCACCTTTGCATCTATTCTAAATTGCTTTTTCAGATTTTTGGATTCGCTCTTGCATCTTTTTGAATTTACATTTCCATTCTTTTGAATTTGCCTTTGCATCTTTTTAAAATCGCCTTTGCATTCTTTTGAATTTGCTTTTGACTCTAGAATTCACTTTTGCATCTTCTTGAATTCAACTTTGCATCTATTCTACCTTGCTTTTGCAGATTTTTGGATTCAATTTTGCATCCTTCTGAATTTGCATTTTCATTCTTTTGAATTTGCCTTTGCATCCTTTTGAAATCGCCTTTGCAATATTTTAAATTTGCTTTTAACTCTAAAATTCACTTTTGCATCTTTTTGAATTCAATTTTGCATCTTTTTGAAATCGCATTTGCATTCTTTTGAATTTGCTTTTGACTCTAGAATTCACTTTTGCATCTTCTTGAATTCAACTTTGCATCTATTCTAAATTGCTTTTTCAGGTTTTTGGATTAGCTTTTGCATCCTTTTGAATTTGCATTTTCATTCCTTTGAATTTGCCTTTGCAACTTTTTGAAATCGCCTTTGCATTCTTTTGAATTTGCTTTTGACTCTAGAATTCACTTTTGCATCTTCTTGAATTCAACTTTGCATCTATTCTACCTTGCTTTTGCATATTTTTGGATTCAATTTTGCATCCTTTTGGATTTGCATTTCCATTCTTTTGAATTTTCCTTTGCTTCTTTTTGAAATCGCCTTTGCATTCTTTTGAATTTGCTTTTGACTCTATAATTCACTTTTGCATCTTCTTGAATTCAACTTTGCATCTATTGTACCTCGCTTTTGCAGATTTTTGGATTCAATTTTGCATCCTTTTGAATTTGTATTTCCATTCTTTTGATTTTGCCTTTGCATCGTTTTGAAATCGCCTTTGCGTTCTTTTGAATTTGCTTTTGACTCTAGAATTCATTTTTGCATCTTTTTGAATTCAACTTTGCATCTATTCTAAATTGCTTTTTCAGATTTTTTGATTCGCTTTTGCATCCTTTTGAATTTGCATTTTCATTCCTTTGAATTTGCCTTTGCAGCTTTTTGATATCGCCTTTGCGTTCTTTTGAATTTGCTTTTGACTCTAGAATTCACTTTTGCATCTTCTTGAATTCAACTTTGCATCTATTCTAAATTGCTTTTTCAGATTTTGGGATTCGCTTTTGCATCCTTTTGAATTTGCATTTTCATTGCTTTGAATTTGCCTTTGCAACTTTTTTAAATCGCCTTTGCGTTCTTTTGAATTTGCTTTTGACTCTAGAATTCACTTTTGCATCTTTTTGAATTCAACTTTGCATCTATTCTACCTTGCTTTTGCAGATTTTTGGATTCAATTTTGCATCCTTTTGAATTTGTATTTCCATTCTTTTGATTTTGCCTTTGCATCTTTTTGAAATCGCCTTTGTATTTTTTTGAATTTTCTTTTGACTCTAGAATTCAACTTTTTATCTTTTTGAATTCACCTTGTCATCTTTTCTAAATTGCTTTTTCAGATTTTTGGATTCGCTTTTGCATCTTTTTGAATTTGCATTTTCATTCCTTTGAATTTGCCTTTGCATCTTTTGAATTTAGATTTGCATCTCTCGAATAAATTCTTTTGAATTTTCTTTTGACTCTAGAATTCACTTTTTCAGATTTTTGGATTCGCTTTTGCATCTTTTTGAATTTGCATTTTCATTCTTTTGAATTTGCCTTTGCATCTTTTTGAAATCGCCTTTGCATTCTTTTGAATTTGCTTTTGACTCTACAATTCAACTTTTCATCTTTTTGAATTCACCTTTGCATCTATTCTAAATTGCTTTTTCAGATTTTTGGATTCGCTTTTGCATCTTTTTGAATTTGCATTTTCATTCCTTTGAATTTTCCTTTGCATCTTTTGAATTTAGATTTGCATCTCTCGAATACATTCTTTTGAATTTTCTTTTGACTCTAGAATTCACTTTTTCAGATTTTTGGATTCGCTTTTGCATCTTTTTGAATTTACATTTCCATTCCTTTGAATTTGCCTTTGCATCTTTTTGAAATTGCCTTTGCATTTTTTGAATTTGCTTTTGACTCTAGAATTCATTTTTGCATCTTCTTGAATTCAACTTTGCATCTTTTCTACCTTGCTTTTGCAGATTTTTGGATTCATTTTTGCATCCTTTTGAATTTGCATTTCCATTCTTTTGAATTTGCCTTTGCATCTTTTTGAAATCGCCTTTGCATTCTTTTGAATTTGCTTTTGACTCTAGAATTCACTTTTGCATCTTCTTGAGTTCAACTTTGCATCTATTCTACCTTGCTTTTGCAGATTTTTGGATTCAATTTTGCATCCTTTTGAATTTGCATTTCCATTCTATTGAATTTGCCATTGCATCTTTTTGAAATCGCCTTTGCATTCTTTTGAATTTGCTTTTGACTCTAGAATTCACTTTTGCATCTTCTTGAATTCAACTTTGCATCTATTCTAAATTTCCTTTTCAGATTTTTTGATTCGCTTTTGCATTTTCATTCTTTTTGAATTTGCCTTTGCAACTTTTTGAAATCGCCTTTGCATTTTTTTGAATTTGCTTTTGACTCTAGAGTTCACTTTTGCATCTTTTTGAATTCAACTTTGCATCTATTCTAACTTGCTTTTGCATATTTTGGATTCACTTTTGCATCTTTTTGAATGTGCATTTGAATTCTTTTGATTTTGCCCTTGCATCTTTTTGAAATCGCATTTGCATTCTTTTGAATTTGCTTTTGCATTCTTTTGAATTTGCCTTTGCATCTCTTTGAATTCGCCTTTACTTTAAGTTGAGATTGAACCTTTATTTGAAATGGAATAAAATACAGTCAACTGCAGTTCATTCGTTTGGAAGAATCTTTTTAGGACGTTAATTGCTTAACTTGAGCACGTTGGATTAATAACTCTGTATTAAATGGACAAAAAGCTCAATTTTCTAGCCTCAAATCTCACACAAAACATGCTCATAAAGACTACAAAAGAAACAGTGCAATATTGCCATAGAATTCGATGTAAATCATACAGAAAATTTTGTAAGATCAGGTAAGATCATTTATAATGTATGTATGTCATTAAAGCTTTTTTCTCTCTCTCATCTCGTTCAGCTTAAGTATACTATAATTGAAGTTCGTTGCATTTCTTATGCAATTATGCATTCTTTCAAAGGCTTGTAAATGAAAATGAATAATGTTGATGTTTCTCGAGCTGAGCTGCATATTTTTCTTTTCTTCTTCTAATAATGTTAAACAATTCATTTTTCTCAATTCATTCAATATGAATGGAAGGGCACTGGAATTCAGTTCAATCACGGTTTCGAGGCATTAAAAATGAAGAAGAAATGAGAAATAAGTGCATTGTTTAACTTTATTAATTGTTACGAAAAAATCAAGTTGATTATCTTTTAACTACAAGAATCATCAATATATATTTTACAAAAAGTTAACATCGAAAATGCATGATGATCTCAACGTACTGAAAAGAATTTATTATATCATTTATTTATTGTTGTTTTATAAATTATATTACATATTGTAATGTCAATAAGGATTTTTAATATGCTTAGTGATGCTATGCGCCAATGGATCTCTTTGTTTAAAAGTTTTCAAATACTTCCAGAACAAAACTGTTCAGTTTACTTATCAAATCATGTAATTACAATAAAGTTCTTCTGTCGAATATAGTCGATTATAGTGTAAGGTTTTGATTCTGATTAGTGTTAAACAACTTAGCAAATTGCAGAGCTCGAAGTCGATCACGCAATAATTAAGAACTTTGATACCTGTTTATTGAATTAGAAACCCAGCTAAATTGGGCTAAAGATAATACATCCAAAATGTAGAAATATTTCCAATCAGAATCTTAAACTCTTGGTTTAGGTTTGAGTGCTGTGATCTGTCAATCTTTAAACATCAGCTATTGTGCATCTAGATCTTACAGTCAATCAATAGCGGGAATAAGATCTTAAAACCCAAAAATCATTTAAAGCCAACAAGTTGCAATCCTTAAGTCACTCCCCAGATGAATTCAATTTCTACTAAATCAAGTCACGTTAGATTAACATTTGTCCATATTTGTCATTCAATTAAGTCCATTGGCGCACCTTAAAAC